CCCCAAAACCCCAAAACCCCAAAACCCCAAAACCCCATTAAGCATATTTGATGATTTGTTAAATTTTTTGTATTTTATATTTTTAAAAAATTATCTATATTTATTAATTAATTGCTTAAATGGATTTAAATCAGTAAATAATAAGATCTTATATCTTTTCAGCAATCTTGGCATTTTTAGTACCAGATTAATAATTAAAATTATAATAACTTTGCTAAGATATGTATCATCGAAGGCTCCCTCTCTACTAATAAAAATACTCATTTACATAAAGCATCGCAAAGAAATCATCAATAATGGTGTACAACTAAAAGAAAAATGCAATCTTACTGAAATTTTTAAATGAAGAATCATTAAGAATTTCAGCTAATCTATTACTTTACAAATTTAACTGAATTAAAGGAATAAGTACTCGAAACTAAGTTATGATTTAAGAGGATAAGTATACTATATTTATGAGACCTGAGTTTATCCAATGCCTTATTAATCTGTAGTTAGTGTTATGCAAGCTCCAAAGTGAGGACTGCATACTAATAAAAAATTTCATAATAAATTCAGAAGTACTTTAATCGATAGATCTATCGTATAATATGATTGGTAATAAAGGTGCTCAATATATTATTCAAGGACTTATTGAGTAGAAGTCAAGATCTTTGAGAAAACTTTCTTTAAGTAAAATATAATTCTTATAAATTATTATTAATTTATAGAGAGTATAGACCTTACTGATGCTGGAGTCAAGCTTATTTCTCAAAGCTTTGATGAGAAAATCTAGAATTTAAATCTATTAAAGCTTGATATAGGAAAAGATTCAAGATCCTATGAAAGTTGGGGTTAAAATAAGATTCATAATATTGGAGCAATCGCTTTAATAAAATTGATTCCCAGTTTTTTTAGAGATGTAAATAAACTTGATTTAAGTATGAATATTTTCGATAATACTCGTTAATAGCTGCAAATGATATCGACTATAAGGCTATTGGCTATTTGAGATATCAAATGGAGCTGAATAGCTATCCAGTGCTTTTGGTTCTAAGATTGAAACAAAATAAAATTGGCGATATTGGTTGTAAAATCCTCGCCTAAATCATGCTGTCCGTAAAAGGCAAGGAAAATTTAAGAGAACTAGATCTTGCTGAGAATGAAATTTCATCTTCAGGATTTTATCATTTATCCCTAGCTCTTGTCATTCCTTCCGCTCTACAAAAGCTTCATCTTTAAAACAATAAAATAATGGCGAGAGGGGCATTACTTCTGAGTAAAATAATAGAAATCAATAAGTCAATCACATATTTGGATGTGAATAATAATCAGATTCAGGATTAGGGGATCATCAGTATAATCTAATCTCTTTATATAAATAAAACGCTCTTGTACATTGATATATGTAAGGTTTATCTAGTTTGAATATAACTCATTATAGCTTACAATTACCTTGATAATTTGAGATTATTGTAAAAGTTAAATCAGCACAGATCAGAAAAAATAAAGGACTTTAATGGTGTGAAACTATTTGTTAATGACAAATGTTTTTATTGAAATTAATTATCTATATTTTACTTAATTTAATCCTGATTTATTCTAGCTTCACGGGGTTTTGGGGTTTTGGGGTTTTGGGG